AGGGGGGCAGGGGGTGGAAAGGGGAGTGGGGGGTGCGACTCGGAAAGAGGTGGAAACTGAAAATGCGTTTAGGGGAATTCCTCACGTTCATTTCGCCCTCTTGCGTGACCCACGACGAGACGAGGCGGTAGGTGGTAAGACGATCCGTGATTTCAAGGAGGCTTTTCGCGGAACGCATCCGAGCGAATGCATTCGTTTCGACCGCGACAGACGCGATCCACTCGGGATGCCACGTTCGTGCCCTCGTGCCTCGTGCTTCGTACCTCTCGGCCGACGAGTCGACGAGCCGAAACGACGACCGACGTCACCTTCCCCTCGATCTGAGAGAATTCGCAAGAATTCTACGAATCGTGTCCGTTCTCGGTATCGCGGGAGACGAGGGAACGAGGGGAACGAAGGGAATGGGAGACATGGAAGCACGGGGGAACGAGGGGGAATGGGAGACATGGAAACACGCGGGAATCGATGGCATGCCGTCGTCCATGGCAACCGGGCGTGACCGCCTCGAAACCCACCGGTCGGTCCACAGCCGGGAGTCTTCCGTTCCGTATGCCCACCGTGCTTCCGTGCCCTTCGTGTGCTCCGTGCCCCCCCGTGCCGTGCGTGTCCACCCCCTGGGAGATCCTCGACGCCGCCGCCTTCCTCGAAACCGAATCTCATCCACGAGGATCCTTTGGATATTTATTTTTTTAATGTTCAATTTTCGTCCGTCGGACTACTTTTTTCATACGCGTTCGGCGTGCGGGATTGCATTCGGACTCGAGGGCCTAGGCCCCGCTTCTACGTGGGAGCCGGCCGAGAAAGGCTCGGATGGAGCAACAATAGCGAGTTTCCTGGAATGCCTCCTTCGCCTCACCGGAACAAACGGTGACGACGACCGGCGCTCCTTCGGTCGGCCCAAACAAAGACCCTGCTCTCGGCACGGCTTTTCGGGTTAACGTACGACCTCGATCGCTCGAAGATCTATCAAAGATTCATTCCAGGAAAATCACGGTGGCGGACTCTTCCGAACCCGAGGTTTTCTTTCTTTTTTGATCGATCGATGCCGTGGCGAGAGAGATCAAAGCGCGGAGAATTTGTACAGCATTTGGCAAACTCACCCGAGCGTGCCAAAGTTAAGGCACGCACGGTTCATCCAAAATGTTCGTAAGACGGTGCTACCGTAATTTCCAATCGAATTCAACCCCACTCACTCGGGCGGAAGCGGGAAGTATTCCATTCTTACCTCAGTTACTCGTGTAGCAGTGATGAATTATTTTCATGAGGCAGATGTCGCTCGAGTTCAGTTACATCTGGAGCCATTCGCAAGGGGGTGGGCGGGTAAATTCAATCCGAAGTATGTTTATATGAGCGCCATTACCAAAGCCGTATATACAATAGCGCCATCTCTCGATGATATTTTGGGATGAACCATAACAATGGTGAAAAGTATGACCAGGCAGATGATGAGCATGGGCCAAGCATGGGCGTCTTCTAAGCAAAATTTCCTCAAGCTTGTACCACGTGCAAAATACGCTGCCCGATTCACCAGAGATATATAATTTATCTCGATGAATAGCAAAGTTGCTACTGGATTAATATGTAAAGCACATTTCTTTTAAAAAGCGGGCTTTTCGCGGCTGGAAGTTGACTTCATCCACGTGTTTACCTTTGGCCGAGATTTCCCTTCGACGAAGCAGTGTCGTGCTGACTTCAGGAAGTGATAGTGAAGTTGCTCACGCAGTTCCGGAAATGAGATAAGCCTTGGTAAGCTGTGCGTTTTGGCCTTTGTCTCGGAAAGCCGGGACGGGACTACATATCTTGTTATAAGGCAGACTTATTATATGAACATCCACATGTTAGGGTAGGTGTTGGCCTAGGCCTTCTGCACTTTTTTTCTAGAAATAATACCTCCAGCTTAGGCCTATCGGCGATACCTGCTTGGTCGGCCCATCTCTCCTAGCAAGGAAGATATCCTAGTGTTTTCCACTTGAATTAAGACAGTTTTTCACTTGACTGAGGCACTTTTACATGGGATGTTACTCATGCTTGAGTGTCCGAATCAAGTGAAAAACACTATCCACCGATTGCTCGAGTTTACACGTTAACATCGATAGCTGTTGGGTCCGTTGCCGCCGAAGCTTAGGGCTTCTGAAGATGAAAGATGACTAGAAAAAGACCAGAAATTTAATCCTTCATCTTTTCCCATCAAGGCGGCCTGTTAGGGTGCTACCATGTTTCTAAAAATAACTAGCAAGGTCATTCTATTGTGACTCCTTATATTTTGAAGAAAGAAAATTAATTATTTGAGCCGGGCCTCCCAAGTTTCCGATGGAAGAATTCGACAAAAGGAATTGAGATATGCATTGAACCTTTGCTGATGATGGTAAAATATCATGTCCCTATATCTGTGGAATACCCATCAGCAGAAAGGTTTCACCTGTTTGTCCAAAGCATATCATCAGCATGATGGTTTAATCTGGTAAATGCCTCCAATTTTCCAGGTGTGGGGTAGACATGCCCCCCCCCACATTTCTCCAGTTCGAGGCATATTTCTGAATAGAGGATTGAATTGTGACATACACATTCATGAAAGCCCCCCTCCCTCCTCTGTGGTGTTTAAAGCCATTAGCAAACCCTGCTTATCAGAAAGTTCCTATGCCTATGGATGCAGGGATACACCTTATTAAAAGTTACTCACAAGAGAAATCCTTTACATTGATTGGATATGTTTGTGAGAGTAAAGAATTTGAGTTCATTGTATTCATGCGAGTATGAAAAGATACTGAGTGGCCCTCTTCATTTAGCAGCTTTTTTTTTGCAAGTATCCTTGCACAATCTTGCATTTGCCAGAGAAATAGTCTCCATAGATAAATAATGTGAATGCTAGTATCTCTATGTTAAATTCAACTCTTTTTTTCATGCAAATATGCAAAAACACCTGCAGTCTGTTTCCCATGTGCAACTTTGCACGAGTACATTCACTCGTATAAACCCTCCTTTGGAGTGGTTAGATAAGGAAGTCCTTATCTACTCTGATAGAGATGGTGAGTGACCCATTGTCACTCAATACCTCCATCATTTGTGGCATAGTCTGTTGAACACCTTGATTATAAAAGTAGGCCTAGTTTTGAGAGAATATAAGCCTTTGAAAGGGTAACTCTGTGCATGATTATTACTCATAGTATGAGACTAACTTGAATTCCATCTGTGATGACCATGGCTGATTCCTAATGTTAAAGATGCCATAAGCTCCCATCAGATGAAGGGGTGAGGTCACTGTTGCAAGACCAGCAACTATCAGAGGAAGAACTTGTCACAAGAAATAAGGTCCAATTGACACTTCCATTAAGATGCTAGGAAAATGGAGGGAAGGAGATGAGGGTGTAAAATCACCTATCATGTTTCACCTCTTTTAGGTGCATTTTATTTTGTAGCTTATCTTCATAACAACTATAGTTCCTGTTTGTGTTGCAGGCATTTTTTGTTGAGTCTGACATACGAGTGCACAAAAAAAGATGAATAAAAAAGGTGGAGCGTGGGGAAATGAGGAAAACCCAGGGGGGAGTGGAGCAATTTTCCGAATAGCCCCATATCAATACATTCATGTGATTGACCAAACAACAAATGTGACACGTCTTGAAGTTGGACCTCAGACATACATCCGCAAAGATAACGAACGGTAAACTGTGACTTTCTAGTGCACCTGGTTTGGAAATATTTTGTATTGTGATAGGTGGAAGTTGTACCTTTTTTATTTGATTTTGCAGAGTGATCCTTGGTCCAGAAAAGATGGTGATAGTAGCCCCAAGGCATTACTGCATGATTGAGAACCCAGTTCAGCGGGATTCAGAAGGAAAACCAGTTTATGATGATGTTGGTCAAGTGAAGCTTCAACATGCTGAATTAGAGGTGAGATACAAAATACTTTTGCCTTATTCTGAAGTTTATTGTTCCTGATTGTGTGTTTCATTTTCTCCTTGTACACCCTATATGCCATATTGAAACATAATGCTGTGAGTTGCTGCAGGGCATGGCCAACATTCTAATGTGTCTCTTTATTCTACCATAGGAAGCACTTATCAACTGGAAAATGTTTTATGAAATATCTTAACCTTTCCTTCCATTGTTATACTATCTACAAAGCCATCTTGGTGAGACAGTCTAGCTATTTGTTTTTTAGGGGCTACCTCTTTGGAAAATTAAACTTTGCATGTAATGAAATAAGGCTCCTAAGCAAATACAGTTACAGGCTTTGTTACAGGCTTAGGAATGAATACATTATTAATACCAGTCAGCAGAGATTTCACAGCATTCATATCTGTACAAGAAGTTCCAAAGTTAATAAAATGAAACCAGACTCCTAAATACCACAAATTAAACTCTACCTTAGAAATACTAAAGTACAGAGATTTCATCAGCATATGATAGATGATGTATTCCTATCCCAATTCAAGCCAGAAATGTCTCTTTTCTGTCATAGATGGAGCAAAATAAGGCAATTTGCACTGTACTTCAATTAAGCTTACTTTTGGAAGAGTTTCGGTTTCCCTATGTCCCTCTCAATTCTGTTTGATTTTATATTGCCTGATGCCACCATTTAATTAGGAAAAGTAAATCTGGGCACCTTTATTTATATTCTTAATGCCAAATGCCATTCATGTTACTCAAAACTAAAATGGTTGGGTGAAATTTTCAGTGTTACAGACATAGCAGATGGTAGCTGAGTGGTAAACTCAGGGGATGGGTACATAACAGTTGTAAGGAGAGGCTGGGCAAGGGAAGGGGGAGGGCTTAGACATGGAAAAAGAGGTTCAAGATGATGTTGTAGGTGATGTTTTTCTTTATTGAATGGAAAGAAGTAAAAGCACAAAGTTACTTCAGAACTGTAAATTCTTGTTCTAAAAACAAGTCCTTGAAGCATGGATATCACAGTCACAAATAGTGTACAAATGGAGAAAAAAAAGCATTTTTCATGCTTTTTTTCTATTATATGATAGCAATAATGCTATTTGGCTTAATCCTATTAGAAAACAAGATCCTCCTATTGTGAAGTAAATTTTTTTTGAAGAGTTGAAATTCTTCTCAGATTGAATCAAGAAAGATGGAAAATTCTGTATTATTTTAATAACTCAAAACGAAGTTTCAATTGAGCAGTGAGAACTATTTACAATGTGAAGGAATCATTAACCCTTTCCATGGTGGCTTTTCCTTTTAGAGATGCTATTTGAAATTCATTCAAAGCTTGTAGCAGTATGTACAGCAAAGATTTGAAGGAAAACAGCCCAAAAGTCCAATTGAAAGAATTAACTGTCATCCAGTCTGGGATATGACAAAGAGCCTCAGTTACAAGCAAGTTTTCACTTGAGTTCAGTGCATATCTGACCACTCCCATATGAATTTGCCATGGAAAGAGTTAAGTTATTATTTTTTTTAGAATAAGTGAGCTGATGATAGATTGGAATCAGTCAACATATCCTTTCCCCATCAGAATCCTATGAAGTTTGTAAACTCTCCAATAGTTTGAGGGTTGGTGTTGCAAACATAAGTTAAGGTCTTCTGTCTTTGTAAATATAATCTGTTTTAATGCATTGGGGACTGCCAACACAGATTTACATTGTGGGAGAACTTTCACTTATTCCTGGTCCTGTAAATCTAAATGGATTCTGTGAACATTTCTGAGCATTTTAGTATTTGAAACATTTATAGAAGTACAGTAGTTTATAAGTTATGAGTTTTCTTGTAAAATAAAGTAAAATAAAGATTTAAAAAATAAAATTGCTAGTTCCCAGCAGTTGGACAAGTGTCAGATACCTGCTCCTCAATGTGTTGAAAAAGAAACCTTGGGTTGTGAAGATGCTTTGGCTGTTGCTCATGTGCCACAATGATGAAACAATTTTGCATTTTTCCTGAACTCATTGTCTCGGTAGGCACGTCCAGGCCAAGTTTTAGCTTTCCATGTCTCTTTGTTTTACTCAAGCAAAAATAAAGTTATGGAGGGGTAATGAGTAATGGGACAGGGAAGGCAAAATAAGCCAAATGAAAGCCGAAGAATGGCCGGGAATTGAACTCGAACCTCCTGCTTGCTGGTCAGATGTGCTACCACTACACCACCGAACTCAAGACATCCAGTAGACCCTCTCAATGCCATCCTCATCCATCACAATATATATATTTTTTTAAAGTTTCCCCCCAAAATATGTACCCCCAGGGCATGCACCTCCAAAGTAAGATTTTTTCTGAACTCTGCATCCCAAAAGGTACATATGTACAAAGTTTCAGATTTCTAGCCTTTCTAGAACATGGTTAGAATTAGCATCAGTCAGTTAGTCACGATCATCTATATATATTAGATATATATAGATTAGATGTTTCAAAAAAGACACTCCATCCTTTTTTTATTATGGGGAAATGGAAATGACATTTCTATTCTTAGGGGTATTCTAATGAAAATAAACATTGATAAGAATATAAATCTGACGTTTTCTGAGATTCTAATTTAATCCAAATGAATATTTCTTTAAAATGGCAAAATCAGAATTTAACCAATTAATTTCCAAGCATTTTTGATAAAATGATGAATTAGGATAATTAAGATACTGGGCAGGATCAGTCTTGGGAAAGCTAAACCATGCTCAAGTTGAACCTTTTAATTTTTAACTGAATAAAATATATTTTGAATTTAAAATCAAAATATAATATTTTTTTTCTTAAAACTCTTCTGCTGTAACCAAATAGTAAAGTAACCATAAAGTTATGTATTCTAGAATTCTGTGCTCCCAGAACTGTAGGCTGAGCAGGTACTCTGGAGGATCAGGAAAAGACAGGTTCAGTGCTCTAACAGTTCAGAATTTGTTATGGCTTTGCAATGTTCAATGCTTGTTCAGTCCAGCATCCGAAGGGAAGAGTAATGTGAGGAAAGATTTGAATGTTTATACCCTCACATCAGAATCTCAAGTAAACTTAGTATTTTTCTAATGGGGTTGAACTAATCCTCATTTGTTGCAATGAATCTAACACCAAGAGGCAAATCCCACATTATATCAATGACTCACAGCCTACTTTAATCTGCTTGTGAGATTAAGCCTTCTCTGGATCATTCTCAAGATGTTCTACCTTTAAGAAAATAGGCAGGAGCCAGATTAAAGCCTGATCTGATTTTTTCCCTTACTGGAATGAGTTCTTTCCCCCATAGGAAATGAGTGGAGCATCTTTTTTGAAACACCGTATATGGGGTTGTGCAAAAGTTCCCATACACTTTGAAAATCTAATTTTTTCACTAATCAATGGATTTTTGGCGATTCTGATGTAGAATTTGATTCATTTATCTTTTTTCATGCTGTTCTAGGTACATAATTATTCAACTAACAAGCTGAGGTTAAGGTTTTATCAAAACCTTAACTTTTTAATAATAATTAAAAAAAGAAGTGCAAGAGAAAGAGAAGAAAGTATACAATAACTTTTGCACAACCCTGTATATCTATCCACTTGAGAATTTTGATCTTATGTAGTTTGTCAGAATTTATGTACTACAAATTGATCAACATTTGAGAACATTTTCTCACTTGCAATGTATGGATTGCCACAAAGGAAGATATTGTTCCAAAGTGGGAACTCAGATATATGTGAATTGCATGACATACCTGCAATTCATATTGAAATTTATGAGTCATTTGGCTCACCACATATTTTCTACATTTTGAGGAGATGAAAACTTGTGTGAGTCATGGACAGCAACATTCTTGGCCAACCTATTTTTTGGAGATGGATGATATTGAATGATGAATAATGAATTTTGTTATCCATATTGGTTTGGTATGCAAAATTTTAGGTTCCAGGTATTGGCTCCATTTTATTATCTTTGGTACTTTTATGCAATGCCGTACTCAGTGGTTGTCTTCAGCCTTCAACTACATCCAGAATTAGTGGTGAATTTTTTTTATTTGGTCAGGTGCGCCTGGAACAGGAACCATTCCCGTTGTACCCTGGTGAAAAGCTTCAGACAAGTGTGACACCACTGCATGTTGTTGCACGGAACACTGCTTTGAGGCTGGTAGCAAAAAGGGATTTTGTTCAGGGCACTGGTGAAGATGCAGTTCATCGGAATGCTGGAGAAGTATGGCTGTTTGAAGGACCAGGTTATTATTATCGACCATTATTCACAGTCTGATCTTGGCAGGAAGTGTTTTTCTCTTCTTAGTAGATATGACATTCTGAGTGGTTCCTTATGTGTTAGGAGTGGGAAGAGATGTGCTCCATTTCATATTATGATGTCTGTGTAAACCCTAAATGTATTCTTTAAATCTTCCTCACAAGGAGTGTTTCATGCATGGTGTCCACTATAGACAGCAAAATTTTTGGTGATGATGATGGTTTTTTAGCCATGGTACACATACCTCAAAACTTTTGTTGTATGCAGTCAACTCAAGGGCAAATAACCTCTTCAGTGTTGCTTTCTAGAGGTGAAACATGCGACTACTACGACAGAGTACCTCCATAAACATTAAACCAAAATAGGCATATTTTTATTTTGCTCAGAAAATTAATGCGTGAAAGGATTAAATTGATGGGTCTTCATTGCCTTTTTTTTGTCTCATGAGCCACCCTAGGAATCATTGAGACATTTGAAATTAAGCCTTTGACTGGGCCTGCGATGGTCTTTTCATGGCTGGAGTTGAAACTGTTTTTATGGAATACCCTTTTCAAACTAGTTCATAGCAGCCTCTCTGCTTTGCATGTCACTTAATGGTAAGTTAAAGACATTTACTGTACCAACAGACAACAATGTCAGTTTTCCATGTCCATCATGGGCTTCTACAAATTCTGCTTTGTCTTTCTTAGGCTTTGAAGACATTGCTATATCTCATGGGATTAATGGTCATTGTTTTTTTGTTTTTTTTTTTTTACTAAGAGACTAGTTTCTTTTTAAAAATATTTATATCTCCCATTTTGGAACATTTGGTTAACATGCACATCAGCAAGGAATTATGTTGCTAATGTTCATGAAAGCACTAGTAAGCATTTTCAGATGATATGTTCATTGAGAAAAAAAATTTCATTGTTAGGTACCATTACTCCATGGTGATAAAAGCAGGTTCTATAGATTGCCTACTTATTTTCTATGTTGAACTATTTGTCAAAAAACATGAGTGCACACTGCACTGAAAGTCTTATGGGTATTATATTTATCAGTGTATACATTCTACTTTTATAAAGACTTCTATAATTTTGTAGATAGTTTTTGCTACTTCAAGTGAATGGCTCATCAACAGATTTCTCTACAAACCAGATGCATCCAGACTTTTCTAGTGCAGTCTCTACAGATTATTTAGCCCTTACTGCCTTGTTATTGTTCATATCATTTGATCCCATGGCAATCCCAAAGTCAAACCTTATGACTTTTGACCTTTATTTTCCTGCTAATTTCATGAAATATGCATAATTTAAAAGGAGATTAGCTCTCGAACTTTTACTGTGTTTAAATTAGACGGATATCTTTGATCCTGTTTTGAATACCCGTGAATGTACTACTGGTACTACTGGACTTTATTGAAAAACCATTAAAAGATGAACGACATGAAGTTTTAGCACTTGATCTAGGAAGCTGAAAATTAGTGTAGATTAGTTTATTAATGGACCCTGCAAATTCACAAAATTTCACCAAAATCAAAGGGGGTCAGGCCAATTTTATCTTCTATTATGTTGCTTTGACTTGGAATGACCTTTAACCATCATAAAAATTCCAAGAAATTTAGTCACATGTAAGTTTCTTTATCCTACTTTCCTGTCATGAGTTTTGTCCTCTCATATGATCTTAACCCTTTCCTTGGCAGGGATACCCTAATGTTTCAAGAACGTTGGCATAATATCCCATCAACGCCAAGGAAAGGCTTAATAAGAAAAAAGATCATGACTCACTTGTTGAATGGCAAAAGCTTATGCTTGTTTCTTATAAAGCTTAAGTGTTTTGCATGTTGCCTACAAATGCTAATGTAACTTTGAAGATCGAAAAACTGAATGTTTAGTATGATGTTGATACAAAGAGGAGAAGATAGGAATTTACTTGTGTACAAACATACAACAAACATATATATGATGCATACATTGTCTATCCTGTGCATGTGGATCCTGTCATGATGGAGAGAACCATCTAATGTCAAGAAAATGCCTCCATGTTCTTGGCATCCTTAAAGAATGTCTTATGTAGGTGCTCCACATGGCAAGATTCTGGAGTTGGCTCTGAGAGCTCTTCATAATAGTGATTAGTGATTAGATTAGGCTTAGTGATTCAAAGCACCCTTTCGTGGAAAGACAATACGACCTTAATCGTTAGCAAGGCATCGCGTCGCCTCTTCATGTTGAAGATCTTGAAGTCCTTCGGTGCATCCAAAGAAGACCTTATCCTGACCTGGACTACCTACATCCTTGGAATATGCATGCCCTGTGTGGCANAGAGCTTGAAAATGACACAAATTTAATCTGCCTATAGAAACTAGGACAAAACTTATGGGCACTTACATGATGACCATGATGACCTGAAATAACTTTTTGGTAATTTTCTACTTGCTGTACTTCAAAAGCAGTTGATCTAGGAAGCTGAAAGTTAGTTTAGATTAGTATATTAATGGACCCTGCAAATTCACAAAATTTCACCAAAATCAGAGGGGGTCAGGCCAATTTTATCTTCTATTATGTTGTTTTGACTTGGAATGACCTTTAACCATCATAAAAATTCCAAGAAATTTAGTCACATGTAAGTTTCGTTATCCTACTTTCCTCTGTCGTGAGTTTTGTCCTCTCATATGATCTTAACCCTTTCCTTGGCAGGGATACCCTAATGTTTCAAGAACGTTGGCATAATATCCCATCAACGCCAAGGAAAGGCTTAATAAGAAAAAAAATCATGACTCACTTGTTGAATGTCAAAAGCTTCTGCTCGTTTCTTATAAAGCTTAAGTGTTTTGCATGTTGCCTACAAATGCTAATGTAGCTTTGAAGATCGAAAAACTGAATGTTTAGTATGATGTTGGTACAAAGAGGAGCAGATAGGAATTTACTTGTGTACAAACATACAACAAACATATATATGATGCGTACATTGTCTATCCTGTGCATGTGGATCCTGTCATGATGGAGAGAACCATCTAATGTCAAGAAAATGCCCCCATGTTCTTGGCATCCTTAAAGAATGTCTTATGTAGGTGCTCCACATGGCAAGATTCTGGAGTTGCCTCTGAGAGCTCTTCATAATCTGAGGTTTACAGTGATAATGTGGACCTTGGATGAGGTTCTTAATATCGCTGTAAATAATAAGACCTTTTGTGTTGGTGACTTGGAGTCAAACATTGTAGCATTGAAAGGGTGGTTAAAATTCATGATTTGGAGTTCTTAGGGAGAGCTGGTCTCCTTCATGTTCTCAGGAATACTCTTTGTCAAGAAGAGACTGGGAGGGAAAAAAAAACTCAGGAGAAGCACCTGTTACTGCCACCAGATGAACTTGGCCTGATCATTCCTGTTTCCAACCCTGGGTCCCATGTTTCAGTCAGAAGCTCCTCATATATTTTATTTTTCATCTGGCAACAGGCAGAAGTGAAGTAGTTCTTAATTGGCAAGAACATAGTCATATGAAGGGTGGGGGGTTAATCATACCATTTTCAGTTCCTTGTGCCCTGAAGACTTGGCATGCCTATGTGCATTCCATTTTGAGCCTTGGGAAGACTGGAGACCTCAAGACTGCAGTGTTATTAGACCCTACAAGCTAGAAAAGGTTCAGACAGAATATCGCTAAATGTTCAAGCATTGAGCTTAATAGTTTCACAGTGTTTGCAGTGCTTTTGATTACCACTTGCATGTGGAATATCCCATGCATGAGTGTCTAAGTCAAGTGAATAGTTATCTGACCCAATTGAAACATATTGTACTAGCCTTTCCAACATTCATCCTAGATGTTCATGTGCAATATAAAGTAAAACAAAATGTTTCCTATATTTATGAAAGAATGAACCATTTTTGTATTTCTTGAACACTCTTGCTCATATTTCCTTGACCCTGATTGTCTCATTTCTCATCAGGAACATACATCCCTCGAAAAGAAGTGGAAGTTGGGGAGACAGTATGTGCTCAGATCATCCGACCGAACCAAGCATTGAAGTTGAGGGCTATGATGGATACAAACGATCGAGAGGGGGCTCCTCGTGTGACAGGTGAAGAATGGCTTGTGAGAAAAGTTGGTGCATACCTCCCTGGAGCCTATGAGGAAGTGGTTGAAGTTGTGAATGCTATTGTCCTCACTGACAAGGTGAGAAGTCCTTTCAGTCAATTTGCACATTTTCATTGAATAATACCTTAGGATTTTGCAGTCTGCAGAGTTTTTTTCCTTTTGCTGATTCATCACAATTGCATGCTTTCATGTATTGCCTACAAATGCCAGTATTGTTCTCAGGGCAACTACCACATACGATACAGCCAAAGTCATTTTCTGCATCTAGGAATTCTTGCATTAAGATATCTATAAAATGGTCCTGAACTAAAGAGTAAAATTCAGTCTTCCATTTGTGTGCATTCATGTTCATATGTTGCCATTTAGCTTTGATCAATATTTTATTTCCAAGAAAACTATAATTTAAACCTCTTGCAGAGTATGAATATAGAGATCTTAGCAGTTCTAGATGTAAATTAATGGTATTTTGCTTTTTTCATTTTGAGGAATTGGTTTCAATTTAAAATTGAATTTCTGGACCCAGACCTTTTCTTGTCTTAAGATAGAGTGGACACAAAGCTTACTAACATAAATATGAAATGTTGAAGGGTGCTGCTACCACAAGAACTGCGAAGTTAAAACTTGCAGGATGGTAATAGAAAATTGTATTTTTTTTTTCTCTGAGTCCTTTGTTCTATTTGAACAGAACCAACTTGGAGCCATTGACAGAAATTTATTTTCTTAATTTTTTCACTAATTTTGCCCTAGAACTTCACTGATCTTGCTCCCTTTTTCTTTTATTAGTATATTTGTTGCATTTTAATGAACATTAAAATGTTTATTAAAAATTGGTAATCCAGACCTTAGTGTAGGTTTTGAGTACCCCATGTACTGTATACTCTCTGGTTATCCGAGTCCACTCGTAGTAGGCAGTTATCATATATACATTTTATATTTATTGAATGGATAGTATAATTGCTGACTTTGGAAATCTCAATTGCATCAACTTGACACATTCAAACCACAATCAGAGATTTCTGATGCAAAATAGCATTCACAGCTGCCTGGAATCAGAATTCTCCAATATGACACATGTCTTCATTGAATTTTTTTAAAAAGTGGAATAAACTACTTCAGGAAACTGAACATTTCTGAACATTCTGGTGTTTGTAACATTAATTTTTCAACACATAGCTAATTAATAATTCATTGAAGAGATTGCATTCATATAATGGGACTGAATGTGTTAAGACTTATGAAGTGGGTATGATAGGGTAAGCCAAGTATTATTAAATTGACCACTTGAAGAATATAATAAATAATTTCCTTGCATATCATGCAGGTATCAAACTTGAACTGCATTTGAACAGTATTGAAGCCATTGCTACTGTGGCCAAAAAATTAGCATTTTTTTTTGGGAACTGTGGACTTGCTTCATGATATGATATAATTATTAGGGACTAGCCAGTACCTAGTGAAAGAATGGACATTGAATGGCTTTACCCTCCAACCTGAGCACTTGGTCCTTTTCTGTCTCAAGAAAGGGTGGATGTGTGAACCTCCCCTTCCCCCTTCCCCTTTCAAACCTAGATCTGCATCACATCTACCATATATGCTTCCAACTGAGCCACTTACCTAATCAGGCTTTTGTAACTTTAAATCAATTGTAGCTCCCTGAGTTTTAGTCACAAAGTGAGGAAATTGCGACATTTCGCACTTTCCTTTGATACCCATTTTACTTAGATCCAATCAGCAGGCAAGCAGAAGTTCCCAGACAAACAAACTGTTGCATTATTATATAGGTACAGTGATGGGTGCCTGGTTTTCACTGTTATTCTGATAGGCCTATATGGCATCCAGTGTCATATTTCCAGAATTTATACTGTGGTATCAATTTTCCATAAAAGTTTGGATGCAACATAATATGCCTATTCTGGGATGTTTTACTCTATTGGCATGTGACAGGAAGCAGTTCATGTGCAAGCAAAACGAACCTTCAAAGATGAGAATGGGAAGACACGACGCAATGGTGAGGAATGGCTAGTGCTTCAAAAGGACACAGAGACTTTTATTCCTGGTGTGTATGAAGAGGTGGTGAAGAATGTTCCAATCACCACCCTTACTAATCGCCAATACTGTGTCATCCTCAACCCTCTTGGTCCTGATGGCACTCCCCAACTGGGCCAAAAGAAACTTATTAAGGTCTGCATGTGCCATGCATTCATTCATTCATTTCATTCTTGGTTCATTTAGGCCAAAGTTGTCATATGGGAAGACATTGGGAGCTTTTATGTGGTTCCTTACAGGGTGAAAAATCCTTCTTTCTGCAACCAGGAGAGTGTTTGGAAAGTGGAATTCAAGATGTATTTGTCCTTGGAGAGAATGAAGGACTCATCTTGAAAGCCAGAGAAGCCTTGAAGGACAACTTCTATGATCCTGTGTGCACTCAGTCTCATTGTCAGCATTATGTGGTGAAGGGATGCCATCATCATTGTCTTTAGGTTTCTTCTCTTACTCCTAGGCTGTGGACAGGAGTCCTGGAGATAAGTGGCTCATCAGAGGTCCAGTCGAATATTTCCCTCCCGTTGAGGTGGAGGTGGTCACCCGGCGAACTGCCATCCCTCTTGACAAGAATGAAGGGATTTATGTTCGAGACATCAAGAGCGGAGAAGTGAGGGTCCTTGTGTCTCCAGTCATGAGCATTTTTCAGCTTCTAACATTGCTGTCTTCCATACTGATATTTGCTTCTGCATTAGGTGAGGGCAGTGATTGGTATGACATACCTGTTGAACCAAGATGAAGAGTTGTGGGAGAAAGAATTACCAGAAGCAGTGGAAAACCTAATCGGACTGGGGAAGGATGTAGTTGCTGATAGAGGTCTTATGAGGGCAGCTTTGGCAGCACCACAAGGTCCAAAGGGAAGGGATCGAACTCGGGTTGTCACTTTCCGTGTCCCACACAACACAGCTGTCCAGATCTATGACTACAAGGATAAGAAGGCAAGGTGAGCTGTACTCTAACTAGGGTCTATCAATCTCATGAATTTGAGTGCCATTGTCACCAATATTGACTGCAAAACATAATTTGGGGAGAGTTTGGAGCAACCATTGTTGACCCAATGTGGTACTTGAATTCTGCAGAGTTATATTTGGACCAGACCTTGTGCTTCTGGGACCAGATGAACAATTCACTCAACTGAGTCTGTCTGGAGGGAAACCAAAGAAGCCAAATCAAATCCGGGCTTTAGGTCTCATGCTTGGACCTGATTTCTGCACTGACATAGTTGTGGTGGAGACAGCTGATCATGCCCGACTTTCTCTTCAAGTGGCATATAATTGGTTTGCTCAACAATCTCCCATAAAAAAGATTTTTACCTAATTTTCAGTCATTAGAGGATCATTCTTGTTGAGGCTCATGGCAATAGTTTTTTCTCTTTATGATATCCTCCAGGCACTTTGATATCAGAAATCACTCAGATGAGACAGCAACCAAGATCTTCAGTGTTCCGGATTTTGTTGGAGATTGTTGCAAGGCCATTGCTTCCCGCATAAGGGGTGCAGTTGCAGGTGTCAAATTTGATGATTTCCACAAGGTAAGCTTTGCCTATCAGCAATATCATTTTGCATTCAGGCACTTTTAAAATAGGGGGATGCAAACTGCCAGAAATTGTTTAGAAAAAATTTCAATGCAGGAGTTGCACTGGTAGTCATTTTTGCTGTTTTTGTCACAGGAATGTTAATACTTACCTTTGGTGCAGATGACTATGAAATCTAGACCTATGTTAGGTATTTTGCTTTCTTTTGTAATTTCACTGCAAAGTTTCTGCTGCTTTTACCTGAATGCTTCTTCAAAATGATTGTTTGGCTTGCAGAACTCATCGAAGATCATTCGAGTGGCTGTATTTGGAGCAGATGAGATGGGCAAAGTGAGGGAAAAGATTATGTTTGACCAGAATAACCTGGTGGTAACCAGCATAGACATACAGAGTGTGGAGCCAGTGGACCAGAGGACTCGAGATTCTCTTCAGAAGAGTGTCCAACTTGCCATTGAGATTACCACCAACTCCCAAGAGGCTGCTGCCAGGTACTGCTGCTCTAGGAATGGTGGGGTGGAGCTATAATGTTCATCAAGCGATGCTAATATTGTTGTACAGGGCCTCTTTGTATTGAGCAGTGGTCCTATTTTCTCATAATTTTTTTAAAACTAACCTTTTCTGTGACTTTCAGGTTCCTGGGAAACTGGGCAACTTGAGAAAGAGGCAGGAAAATGCTGGGTAATGCAAAAGGAAAACCTGTTTGACAAATTGTGAAACTGACTTTTGAAATAGTGTTCATAATTTGATTGTATCATCAGGGACATAGCCAAGGAGGGTGTCCTGGGTGTCTGGACACCCCCTGAAAAGAAGCAAGATATGAAACAAGGTGTATGGGAGTGGGGGGGGGGGGGGTGAAAAGTTTCACATATAAAACTGAAGTTTTGACTTGCACTCCTATTCCACCTTCTGAATACAATCACTCATGACCAATACAGTGCCCCCCCCCCCCCATTTTGCTTCCATTGCTCCACCAGTTTTTTAGCTCCAGTAGTAAACCATGATTAGGGAGTAGCTTTCACCCACCATATTATGACTAATTCAAGGTTAATCCTTACCCATATCTCTTTTCCTGCAAAAAAATTGTTAAATTTTGGGAAGAGAAAAGGGGGTCATTTTGAACTATGAGGTGGGTGGGGTTGAAGTCTCAAAACTTTCCAAGTTTTCCTCATTCCTCCCAACCCCTCACCTTCCTCTGCCACTTTGTCATCTCATAAGCCTGAAAGAGCCTCACAGGACACCCCCCAATATTAATTCCTGGCTATGTCACTATGTATCATATCTCTAAACTCTAAATTGTATTTCCTGAAAGTCTAAAATTTCCTATAGAGTTTAAGTTCTTTCAATAAAAAGCAACTATCATTCACATTTTAATAAGAAAATTCAGATTTCCCATGCATCAGGCTGTGTAGTTTCAGCACAGCTCAAAAGTTTTCTCCCCTTGGCTCCAAGAAACATTTTTTTAATGGCTGCATCCTTAGTTTAGTCTTCTGTGAAGTGTCTTCAAACCTTAACTGAGCAAGGAATGCTTCAATGTGATGGTTCTTTGAGTATGAGGACCAAGAAATCAGAGGTTCTGATGAAATTATGGATTGTATTCTTTGAACACTTCCCCCTCCAGCCTTTTTAAATAACAAACCCTTATTGCAGAGATTTTTTTATTTGTTAGCTGTGGAATGATGCAGTAAGGTTGCAAACAGAAAACAGACTTTTTGGTGACATATGAGGGACATCTGTAAGGCACTGCTGCCTGTTGTATGAGAAAAAGACCATCTCATTTCATGGTGACACCTCCTGAATTTCGAGCATTTCTTTAATTTTCCATTGTTGGCATAGTATTATGTTATATTTCTGAAATTCATGCTTGCAAGAAGTCATGTGTTCATGCAACTATGAATGAATTGTGCACTAATGTATGTACCACTGTAAGAATTTGATTCATATTTAATTTTGGCTGTCTTACAACATAGCATTTGCCTGGAGTGAAGGATATTTAGTAATGAGCTTTTGCATTGAATGGAGTAGCTCTATCCATGTGGGATGTCAACTGATAACTGACTACATGGTCATGCTATCCACCAGAATATATATACTGCTGCCAAAATTGCCAGCATTCTTCATAGATCCAAGTTCACCCTATCTGTATAGGACATTGATCCCTTGCTTATGATGTGTCATGTTTGGGCTTGTTAATCTACCTTTGGTCTTGAAAGGTTGATTCTCCAATCAAATAATGTAATATTATTGAAAGGTTATAGAAAATTATACAGTATAGGTTTTGGATTTCAAAAAGCAAATATCCTGCTTTCAAAATATCCTGGTTACCGCTCAGCCTTGATTGATCTATATTTATCTTATTATCTTACTGCATCAATTTATTGTAATGAAATCATAGCTAATTTTGGTTGATATAATGAATGATCTGATGCAGTTCTTCAGAATACCCAATCATCAGCTGTCAACTTTCTTGGAAAAGTTGACTGTGTAGCTGAAATCAATTGAAAGTTTCAGGAGTAAGACTTCAGTATGTTGCTAGCCAATTCTACTCCTCCTTCTACTGGAATATACCAGTGCTCCCTGCAAAGCATGCAAACATGTTGAGGCCAATACACTTTTGCTTCCCCCTGATAGGGTTTCCCCCTTCCTCTCCATGGATTAGGCCTGCACCTATTACCTCAAAGTAATTCTAGCCACCCCCCTGCCTAGGCCTATTTTATGTGAATCCTCCCTCAACCTCAGCATGAATGAGTGCATTACCATTTCCATCAGCCTAGTTCACTCGCATAGCTCATTCATTTTTGAGCTAAAAAAAAAAAGTCATTTGGCGTGAAGAATGGCAAAGGTCTTGGTGTTTTTTTCCTGAAAATATGGAAGCTTTAGGTCAAGCCAAATCAGACAAAATTGGAAGGGAAGCAGCAGAACGAAAACCGTTGTCTAAACTGTTACATCAGTAACACCACATGCATGGCTTTCAACTTTTTTTCAACCATGGGAGAAATAAGACAATTTTGACCATAATAGGTATGGTATCTGTTCTCTATGAGGCACTGTTACAATAGAGTTTCTGGATCAAACCCTATTCAATATATAACATCATACAGGATTTCAATTTGAGTCTGGTGTTACGTCAGTAACTTCAGAACTGCCCTAATGCATTCTCACATGCCACAGGAGAGATGGGAAGGCTAGATAATTTGGTTGAGGAAAAAGAAAGAATAATCCATACAGGAGATGAGAGTTTTCTCAGTCTAACACCCCTCCCTCCCTGCCCCTCAGTCCCTAAGCTAGTCCTCCCCCCTCCCTGGATGTGAGCCCCTATACCTCCAAGGCCTCTATAGTGGTGCTGCTTGCTTGTTTGCTTCAAGGATTTTCTGTGGAGAACCCTGGATATCATTTTTGTTCAATTCCCTATCTCTACATAGATGGATTTACCTAGAGAAACTTGATAAAGCTATTGATGCTCCATGACATTGTTGTACACTCTTCTTGAAAAATAGCTTACAAAACATCAGTGAAGGATATGTTGTGCATTCCATTTGAAATTTCTAAAGCAGTGATGAAGTATCACTAATGTCTATAGGAGCTAATTCCCTTGCCAGCAAATTGTCTAAGGTGGCAACAAATCATTAGGTGTTTTCTTCATCCTCCATGCCTGCTCTTATTCAAATTCCTAATATAAAGCTGCTGTTCACTGCTGTATCTGACTTTGTTTTCCTTATGTAAGCAAACATCCTCACCCCACCTTATCATGCTATACTCTCAGTATGAATCTGTCATTTTCTAACTGTATGTGTTAAGCCAGGAGTAACTAGTTGTCTTTTCCAATTGTTTCTAAGTATTTGAAATGCCTTTTTGAATATTTCTCACTAGGCATGAGGCAGAACGACTGGAGCAGGAAGCAAGGGGGAGATTGGAGCAGCAGAAGATCCTGGATGAAGCTGAAGCGGAAAAGACTCGGCGGCACCTTCTTGAGCTTCAGGTTTCTCACACCACACTCCCATCCATATTAACAAAATAATCATAATAGGAGAATTGTTCCACCCATAAGTATAGTGTGGATAAAAAAATTGGGGGGGCATGGGAACTCTGGGACACTATTCTCATACATGTGCCCCTCTAGCTCCACCTAATGCTATACTGCTGGTTGTGCCCTGTGGTGAAGCCATGTATAGCAATTGAATAGAATAGGAACCCTTTTTTCTGAAGTTGCATGTTTACTGTGACATACTTTGCATTGTCATGTATTGTCTTACCTGTAACTCAATAGAAAGAATGGATTTTCTATCCTTGACTTTTTCATGCTACTATGAATAGGAGTTTAGCTCATGATGTTGGCAGAGGATTCCAATGGCTAATCAAAGAAGTTGTTGCCACAATGACATTAGGCAGTATCTTGGTAAAAAATTGTTGAAGAAGAGGTTGCCTTCGTTGTAGAGAAAGTACAGGGTTGTGCACATAAAAGTGGCCCCAGCACTGTCCATACAGTGTGGTTACTGTAGTACACCAGCACCTGTCAGTACAAGTCACCACACGTTTGGAAGTAGGAAGAAGAGTGTGACATGTAATGCAGCGAGCGCCCCAGCCTGTGCCCTGGAAGGGAGTGTGTAATATGCCATGCTCAATGAGTCAACATATTATGATCATGGAGCTGTATATAAAAATGGAGTTGTTTAAGCAAACATGCCAACATTTTCAAAAGCTGTTCCCATGGGCAAGAGTTCCATTTAAGAATGCCATACAGAAATTAGTTGCCAAGTGGAGGAAGACTGGATGTGTATTAAATGCAAGGCTTACCAAGGCATGGATGGACCATTTGTATGCCAGCCCTGGTGGCAGACATCCCTCAGTGCATATTGCAGAGTCCCAAGTAGTCTACCAAGAGGCTTTCCCAGCAAGTAGTGGCCTCCAGAAGGACTTGTCAATGAGTTTTGAAGGAGTTGACCTAGAACCCATGCTGTGTAACTGTAGTTCAGGAACTGAAGCCACCAGATAAGCAGAAACATGTAGCATGTTGCCAGTGGTTATTGGAATCCATTGCTAATGGAAATGTGGACCCACTTCTGTATTTTGTGTCAGATGAAGCATGGTTTCATATGAGCAGATATGTGAACTCCTAGAACAACAGGCATTGGGCAGCTGACAACCGTCACTTGCCGCACGAAACCCCACTTCATGACCTGAATGTAGGGGTGTGATGTGCAGTGTCGGGATGTTGCATTGTCGGTCCCATTTTCTTTTCCAAAACCATCAATACCCCCCAGTATGTGGCCATACTGGAAGATTTTTAAAACCAACTCACTGATGAGGAGCAAAAGTACTGTCATTTCCAGCAGGACAGTGCAACACCACAGACATCAAGAGTGTCCCTAGCATACTTAAACAAATACTTTGGTGTTAACAGGACTGTGAGCAAAGATCTGTGACCCCCATGGTCTCTGGGCTTATCGTCATACAACTTTTACCTTTGGGGCACACTAAAGGGTAAAGTTTATGCAAACAATCCCCATACATTGGATGAACTTAAGGAAAACATTCAGCAAGAGATTGCCTTGATCACAGTGCAAGAGTTGCGGGCTCTCGCTCAAAATATCCTGAAACGGGCCCAAAAGTGCATCAAAGTAGTAGAACACTTGCAGCACCTACTGTAATACAGCTAGCTAGGTATGCATGCAGACCACTTATGTGTGCCTTCCAGTATAGCACCTCTGCATGGAGGCAAATCCTACCAGGTGAAAACTTGAAGGGAAGATTGCCATGGGAGTGACTATGGGGAAAGGAAAGCCCTTTATGGAATTCCACTAGCATGCTGAAGAGTTCCAGATGGCTCTATACTTCCTGAACTTATGGGGAACCTGTTACAGAAGCAGACTTATAATTGAGAATAAATACATTATGGAAAGGAATACTGAGATCAACATCTAAGATCAACTTCTGAAGTGAAAGAAAGATCAATTTTGACTTAAATATGTTCCTCATCATGTTTTTGATGTGAAAAGATAGATGCATCCATGCTTATTTTCTTGACCATTGCAATGGATGTTGTTATTCAGGGCTCAAAAAATCACTAGAGAAACTGGTTGCCATTCAGCTAATATACTTGAAAATGGTCAATATCCAAGACTTGGTGCAAACTTAAAAAAAAGGACTGATTCAGACTAGTACCATGATTTTTCTAAGTATGTTTTCTGGTACCTAGGACTTGCTCTGGACACTAGCTTTTATTTGTTTACAAGGCATGTCAAGACTATACAGCTGGGTTGATCACCTCAGCATGTTCTGTTCATATTTTTGCAGCTCCTGAACTTCCTTTGTTAACATAATGAAACCTTCCAATATGTTGGAAATGTGTTCAGGTGCTGTTTCTGGCCAGACAAACTCATTGTAGTTGCTGGGCTTTGATTTTGTTCCGCTGATCAAGCCAAGTCCGAGTGTAATTTTAGACCCACTATAGGCAATCACAGATTGACTTATCCAACCCATCTCAGATAAGTTTGCTATTTGAATCAAGGGGAAGAAGATTCATTTTCCACAACAAAGTAATGATACTCTTCCCATGTAAGAGTGGCAATTAGCCATAAAGACAGAGATGGGTGAGACCATAGACCATGGTCCCTGATGTCATGCTTCACAGCTTTGTCACAGCATGATGTAATCACTGTATTAGTATGGCACTGCATATCGTATGAAATATAAGAAAGGGAAGTTTGTTGCATTGGAATTTCAAGTTGTAATGAATAAACTTTGAGGGACTGATATCTGGAAATGAAGGGGAAATACTGGGTTGACCAAATACCATGAAGTTATTGACTGGAAATTTATGGGTTTTGTCACATCCAACAAGTCCAAGTGAGTTTGCAAAAATTGTTATGGAATTGGTCCTTGAGAACATGTGTACAGTCTACCCTCAACACACTGCCGAATGGTCTACTGTCACCCTCACTTACCACCAATGTCATTCCTGAGAGCAAATCTTCCCATAAGTTTATAATAAGCAATCCCCATTATAGTGCCACTCTTGCAAGCCACCATCTGTCTTGACCATCATTTGTACAAACATCATTTTATCCTCATAAATCCTCCTCAATTTTGCACCAAGTAGCACGTGCTGCAGCCATTTTCCAGTTCTGAATGTTTCTTACTGCCATCAGAGGTATGATTCATTGCCATGGAATGGATAATGCATAGGACAAGTATTGAGAATCAAGAGGACAAAGGATGGCAAGATAAGCTACACATTCATTTGAACTTTCATTTATACAATGTGACCTTCAGAGATTTCGGTATCATAGCTAATCGACTCATTCAATACAGTGCCACTTGCCTTATAGCACCAATATTGACAGTGACCAACAATGCCATTATATCAAGGGTTGACTGTAGTGCTTTTTTTCTGAACAATGTCAAAATATCGACTCTGTTAGAGTGAAAACTTGGATACTTGCTTCACACATAATGAGCTTGGTCTACTCCAGTTCAGCTGAATAGGCAACTGCAGACAGATTCACATTTGAGATTGTGCAGGAAAAAGCTGGTATTCAGGTTCTGAAGGACAAGTTTTGTTTAAAATTTTATTAAAGCCAACCGCACATGTTGGATGTGACATCATGTAAATTTTTTGCCAGTACCTCATATGGTATTTTGTCTGCAGGTATGCACAGTTGAGAACTTGCATACTTGCAGAAGCCTTAGGATGATGATATGCCAAGTAGAAAATCCAGTCACTGCCTTGAGAACCTATCTGGTTTAGACACCCCATGAGAAATATAGGTTGCATTTTATAATCTCATTTTTGTAGCCCTGTTGTTGAACACCAAAACTGCTTTATGATTTGCTTCTGGTCATGTTATGAAAAACTATATTGCTGCATGGAGGAAAGAAAGCAGAGTGAAGGATGCAATTTTCATAGACCTTCTGTTTACATAATATTTTTCAGCTGGGAAAAATCAGGAACCCAGTATGCTATCTTGGGGAAAAGCTGACCATACAAGTGCAGCTGATGGTGAAAGTGATGATGGGAGAACAAATTACTCCTCACAAATTCAACTTCAAAATTTTCTCTTGACTCTTCTGAGCTTCACTTAATAGCATTTCTATCAATAACAGATATCTGATACCAGTTGGTATTGATATACCCATGGAGATATTGACCTTCTCCAATATTCCTGTCATTTTTTCAAATGCAGTATGATGGTGTGCAAATTGGGCATTATGAAAATCAGATGCTGGTTTGATAAACTTATAATATAAATCCATCCACCAGAAAAGTATAAGGGAGTTATTTGAGTCATGCTGTGATGTGTGGTTTTTCTCTTTTGGTGGAAACAGGCTGAATCAGCAGCTGTGGAGTCATGTGGGCAGTCAACAGCAGAGGCACGCAGTCGAGCTGATGCTGCTGCCATTGAAGCCAAAGCTGCTGTTGAGCAAGCCAAGCTTAAGGCTGAAGCTTCTGCTATTGAAGCTGTAAGATCCTCTCTCTTCATCCCATACTCACCTTTGCCTCTACTAATTCCTTACTGGGAAGGCCTTTAGAGTGATATTTTTGGTAATGCCATTCAAGTAAATAGGTCTCATTTCCCCCATGAGCCTCAGTGTGACTTTACTGTATTTTAAGAGAATCGTTCTTTTGGATATGCTCATAATTTGCAATGATGGCTAGTGAATCCCTTGGAAAGTGTCACTGAAAAAAATTTTTGTGCAAAGGAATCGGAACTGGAGAGATTGATGAAAGCGAGACGCATTGAGCTGGATTATGTGAAGGAACAGAATACCCTTGAGGTGCAGAAAGCAAAGGAATTGGCCTTGATCGATGTGGAGAAGTTCAAGGAGATGATGAGTGCCCTGGGACAGGAGACTCTGACTGCTCTTGCAAAAGCTGGACCACAACATCAGGCATGCTCTCACATTTTATACTCTCCTCATTCTTTTCTTTCTATATCCAGTTTTTGAATCTTGGTAATTGGTTCTGGTGGTTTAACAGGTGGAGATGTTGAAGGCACTGGGTCTCCATTCTACATTGATCACAGATGGAAGGAATCCTATCAATCTTCTAAATACAGCTGATGGCCTTCTTGGAGGAGTCTATTCCCGTTCCATCCCACCCATTCCCTAATAATTTTTTTCTCCCCTTACTTTCTCTTCTTCTTGCCAAAAAATGAATAATTATACATTTGTTAGTCTTTGCATTGTTTATTGCACTTTGATTTACTGGTCATCTTGTCATGTGGTTTATTGGTCATTACCAATTACCATCTCATTCCAGTTCTTGTAGTTTCCTGCACCTGTTTGATTTTGTTTCTCTGTTCAGTGAATATTGTTTGATTCATTTTATTTACTTAATTATGTTGATATAATGTATGTTTGTTTTTCAGTAGTCTATTGGAGGTGTCTCCAACCCATATATTAGCAGATTTGGAGTGATTAGAATGCATAAGAAATGAGGTGGTTGATTGTGATTTGGCTTTGATTCACCTGTGATAGTGTCATAACCACCAATGTGTGCCTTTCACCTATCCATCACTAACAGAAATGCTTTTGTCACAGTATTTTACCTTGCATTAAAGGAGTATAAGGAAAGGCCACAGAACCTTTGCAGTAAATTCTGGTTGTGGAATGCAGGAAACATAAATATTTGTGCTAGGTAGGTGCTTGAGGGAAGTTTATTGCATTACCAGAAGTTTTACCATATTGTTGAAGATTACATTTATTAATTTACCTTAGTGCACCATTGTTGGCAATTATCCCGATCACATGATTTTTCATCCAAAAGTAAATTATGATGATTTTTAAAATATAGTAATGCTTCTGCTGGGATCTCTCTGTGATCACTTCATTAGATAAGGCTTTTCAGATTGGAGGGGTATGATCATGGCAGACTCCTATAATCCATAATGCAGGACTATTTTGTGTGAGCCCCAGTTCATTCTCCATCAGGAATCCACATCACTGCAACCAAGTTTGATTGCATTCTAAGTAATATTGTTTTCCTCATTGTCTCATGGCTAAGATTGGTCAGGTATCCAGCCCTGTCAGTTTTTGGTCATTGTGTCCTCCTTTTAGCTCTTGTTATGCTTGCCAGCAGTGGTGACATTTTTCCTTGTTCTACCATTCCCTACTTTCACAAGGAAAGACACTTCTTGGATTATGTATTTCCTACACTTTCCATTGGAAGCCTCTGTGTGAAAGTCATTGCTATGTGATACCGTCTTGGAATGAATAATGTATCAAATGTGGCATCATCCTTTCCTCGAATGAAAACAGGTAATAAATGTGAAAAGTTTGTTTTAGGAAGATGAGATCATGCCTTTTTGACTCATTTGAATTCTGTCCACACCCTTCTCATATTGATTTCATGTCTAATAGAAGAGATGTCCACAGTAGGTGTTACCTACATCCATTCCCTTTCCTGTTAGTGCAGAGATAGTTTGCTGGCGTGGAGGAAGAAGGACCTAGAAACCAAGAATCTACAATCTATGTCATGTGAAGGAAAAATTATTACTTATAACCATTCTGTGTGAATAGAGGGGAAATATTTGTTTTAAATCAGGAGATAGCTCTATAACTTTTATTTCATAGCATTCAATCCATCTAATAGGTCATGGTTTACATGTTCATATCATCCTGGTATATTGAGAGGGCCTTAGAGCTTGTTGAGGATGTAGCTGATTGGATACCATGTACTAACATTTAATATAGAAAAGCCTTCATGGAGTGTAGATGTCAGCATGCAGAAAAACCTCTTATAGCAAATTAAAAAGTTCCCTAGCCATGAAAAAAAGGACCTGGTGATGAACTGCTAAGTTGGGATGGAGGGAGAGTGAATATGAAGTTCTGCAAAAAATTGCCAAGAGTAGGAATTTGCCTATTTTCAGACTGAAGAATGATAACTGAATAATTGCCTTTTCACTTGAGAGCTGAGTCTCTCAGTTTCCTGGTGCAAAGTTGAACATTCCTCAATTCTCATTTTGAAGTCCAAGAAAAGGGCAAATTCTTTTCAAACTGAAATGTCTTGAAATTGCAAACTCACCATTTATCAGGTCTTGATGGGTGAGATAAGGGAGGAATGCAGATAGCTTGCAACAGTCTTTCCAGGCAGTCAAAGACTCTAAAGGCTATGTTCATATTTTCCTTACAGGAACAGAAAGAGCTCAATAGCCTGAGGTATCAGATGGCAGGGGTCATGGGAGAGCACATCATTACAAAAGTAATGAATCTAGTCCATTCACTAATATCCATAGTATCATGAAGCAAACTGATTTTTATGTACCTGTCTGTCTTAGGTTGTAGAATTATGAAGAGAATGTTCAGATTTCCTAACAAGGATTTCCTTGCTTTTTCTCTTTCTACAACCCTTTGTGGTGTCAGTTGGCACTGGTGGCCTAATTGCTTGGTCTACCATTCCTTCTTTTTCAGGAAGGAAGCTCTGCTTATTTTCTGCAGATAGTATTTCCCCAAGGGACAACCCTTTCTAAGGATTTTGTGAACTCATGTAAAATGAGTTCACAAAATCTTTTAAATATCCTACTCTACTCCTCTGATATGTCGTGTAGATGAAAGGTACATGAAATATGTGATTGAAGAACTTCTAAAACTGGCACATGTGCTTCATTAGGGAATAGAAATGAACAATTTACAGGGTGACCACAAAAAACACTACCAGTACAATTTAATAATAACTCATTACTATTTCAAATGACATGTTCTTTGGTACACATTTGCTTCACATGATGCATGATAACTATGGAAAGTTTCAGATGGATATTTTTAGTGTCATTGATTTGATTGAGGCTAGAGCACATGCTCCAGATGTTGGCACACTTGGATGCGACTTGATGTTTGAATGAGCACCACACCCACCAGATCTGTCACTGCCAGATTTCTATCTTTGGGGCTATCTTAAGGACAATATCTACCCAGGAAGGCCACAATCCATAGATGATCTCAAAACAGCAATAACTGACAAAATCCGTTCAATCATTGCAGCCGAATGTCAGAGTAATAAACAATTTTGTCCGTCACATCCAAGTGTGCCCACAGCGCAGAGGCCGGCATCTGGAGCATGTGCTCTAACCTCAATAAAACCAATGACATTAAAGATATCCATCTGAAACTTTCCATAGTTATCATGCATCATGTGAAACAAATGTGTACCAAAGAATGTGTCATTTGAAATAAAATAAGGAGGGAATATCATATTGTATGGGTTCCATTTTTTTGTGGTCCTTCTGTACTTCTGAATCTGGAACAAGATGTGTCCCTTTTTGTCAATGGTTGCCATCATAGCTAAAACTACTTTGTAGGTCACTGGAAATGCACATTACATGTGCATGACATTTCCAAAGATGTTAAGAGTGATTTCATCAAAGATTTTAATTGGACTCATTGTCGATACCTTTCATTATCAATCTCATATTCTATTCCCTTTGCCTTAAGTTTTTCTTATTTTCGTGAATTAGAAGCTCAACACAACCCAGAAGTTACTTGAGATCAGTTCATGTCAATGGTTAAGGTCTTCTTGAAAAAGTTGGCTGATTTAACCAATAAAATGGGTGATAAAGGAGAGAAAATCCTAGCAGATGGAGAAACTTTCTTCTCACTAATCTTGTGAGTCAAAGGTTTCATCTGTACTCATGTAGGCCTCATATAAGGAAGAAGGATATAGCTAAAGCATTTCCTCCTTTTCCTATCCACAGGGCTCTTCTGTGTGAAAAAGGAAGAAAGTAAGATGGATCCACTGTTCCTGGGTTTGAGTTGCTATCGTCGGAGGAAGCACAAGGAAGCTGCAGCCATATGCACCGAGATCTTGGAGAAAAATCCATATGATCAGGTTTGTATGTCTTTAACCTCTTCTATCGCAGTCTGGGTGTTGGTGTTGATGCAGTGTGAAGTACAAAGCATCAATCTGAGCATGGAATATTAGGATGCCCTTGAGTTGAAGTTGATGAACCTGCTAGATATTGGCAATCAGTTCAAATAGGAGTTGAAGGGAAACTGTCCTTAAGAGATGAGCACCCCATAACCTCAGAGAAGATTGAATTCCATGCTGTGTCTGACTTTATCCTGATCTTAATTTTACATAATATGGGGTTTTTTCATGTGAGACTAGACCAACTTCATCTCTTAAGGCATCCAATTGATGTCAGTCAGCAAAATGGCTTCTTTCCATAGGGTTAAACTACCATCCTTCCTATTTAGAGAGAGAAAATTGAAGCTAAAATTAGTCCAGGCTATCATGAACTNATTTGTTTTAAATCAGGAGATAGCTCTATAACTTTTATTTCATAGCATTCAATCCATCTAATAGGTCATGGTTTACATGTTCATATCATCCTGGTATATTGAGAGGGCCTTAGAGCTTGTTGAGGATTTAGCTGATTGGATACCATGTACTAACATTTAATATAGAAAAGCCTTCATGGAGTGTAGATGTCAGCATGCAGAAAAACCTCTTATAGCAAATTAAAAAGTTCCCTAGTCATGAAAAAAAGGACCTGGTGATGAACTGCTAAGTTGGGATGGAGGGAGAGTGAATATGAAGTTCTGCAAAAAATTGTCAAGAGTAGGAATTTGCCTATTTTCAGACTGAAGAATGATAACTGAATAATTGCCTTTTCACTTGAGAGCTGAGTCTCTCAGTTTCCTGGTGCAAAGTTGAAAATTCCTCAATTCTCATTTTGAAGTCCAAGAAAAGGGCAAATTCTTTTCAAACTGAAATGCCTTGAAATTGCAAACTCACCATTTATCAGGTCTTGATGGGTGAGATAAGGGAGGAATGCAGATAGCTAGCAACAGTCTTTCCAGGCAGTCAAAGACTCTAAAGGCTATGTTCATATTTTCCTTACAGGAACAGAAAGAGCTCAATAGCCTGAGGTATCAGATGGCAGGGGTCATGGGAGAGCACATTCATTACTACAAAAGTAATGAATCTAGTCCATTCACTTATATCCATAGTATCATGAAGCAAACTGATTTTTATGTATCTGTCTGTCTTAGGTTGTAGAATTATGAAGAGAATGTTCAGATTTCCAAACAAGGACACTATCCTTGCTTTTTCTCTTTCTACAACCCTTTGTGGTGTCAGTTGGCACTGGTGGCCTAATTGCTTGGTCTACCATTCCTTCTTTTTCAGGAAGGAAGCTCTGCTTATTTTCTGCAGGTAGTATTTCCCCAAGGGACAACCCTTTCTAAGGATTTTGTGAACTCATGTAAAATGAGTTCACAAAATCTTTTAAATATCCTACTCTACTCCTCTGATATGTCGTGTAGATGAAAGGTACATAAAATATGTGATTGAAGAACTTCTAAAACTGGCACATGTGCTTCATTAGGGAATAGAAATGAACAATATACAGGGTGACCACAAAAAACGCTACCAATACAATTTAATAATAACTCATTACTATTTCAAATGACACGTTCTTTGGTACACATTTGCTTCACACGATGCATGATAACTATGGAAAGTTTCAGATGGATATTTTTAGTGTCATTGATTTGATTGAGGCTAGAGCACGTGCTCCAGATGTTGGCACACTTGGATGCGACTTGATGTTTGAATGAGCACCACACCCACCAGATCTGTCACTGCCAGATTTCTATCTTTGGGGCTATCTTAAGGACAATGTCTACCCAGGAAGGCCACAATCCATAGATGATCTCAAAACAACAATCACTGACAAAATCTGTTCAATCATTTCAGCCAAATGTCAGAGTAATAAACAATTTTGTCCATCGCATCCAAGTGTGCCCACAGCGCAGAGGCCGGCATCTGGAGCATGTGCTCTAACCTCAATAAAACCAATGACATTAAAGATATCCATCTGAAACTTTCCATAGTTATCATGCATCATGTGAAACAAATGTGTACCAAAGAATGTGTCATTTGAAATAAAATAAGGAGGGAATATCATATTGTATGGGTTCCATTTTTTTGTGGTCCTTCTGTACTTCTGAATCTGGAACAAGATGTGTCCCTTTTTGTCAATGGTTGCCATCATAGCTAAAACTACTTTGTAGGTCACTGGAAATGCACATTACATGTGCATGACATTTCCAAAGATGTTAAGAGTGATTTCATCAAAGATTTTAATTGGACTCATTGTCGATACCTTTCATTATCAATCTCATATTCTATTCCCTTTGCCTTAAGTTTTTCTTATTTTCGTGAATTAGAAGCTCAACACAACCCAGAAGTTACTTGAGATCAGTTCATGTCAATGGTTAAGGTCTTCTTGAAAAAGTTGGCTGATTTAACCAATAAAATGGGTGATAAAGGAGAGAAAATCCTAGCAGATGGAGAAACTTTCTTCTCACTAATCTTGTGAGTCAAAGGTTTCATCTGTACTCATGTAGGCCTCATATAAGGAAGAAGGATATAGCTAAAGCATTTCCTCCTTTTCCTATCCACAGGGCTCTTCTGTGTGAAAAAGGAAGAAAGTAAGATGGATCCACTGTTCCTGGGTTTGAGTTGCTATCGTCGGAGGAAGCACAAGGAAGCTGCAGCCATATGCACCGAGATCTTGGAGAAAAATCCATATGATCAGGTTTGTATGTCTTTAACCTCTTCTATCGCAGTCTGGGTGTTGGTGTTGATGCAGTGTGAAGTACAAAGCATCAATCTGAGCATGGAATATTAGGATGCCCTTGAGTTGAAGTTGATGAACCTGCTAGATATTGGCAATCAGTTCAAATAGGAGTTGAAGGGAAACTGTCCTTAAGAGATGAGCACCCCATAACCTCAGAGAAGATTGAATTCCATGCTGTGTCTGACTTTATCCTGATCTTAATTTTACATAATATGGGGTTTTTTCATGTGAGACTAGACCAACTTCATCTCTTAAGGCATCCAATTGATGTCAGTCAGCAAAATGGCTTCTTTCCATAGGGTTAAACTACCATCCTTCCTATTTAGAGAGAGAAAATTGAAGCTAAAATTAGTCCAGGCTATCATGAACTTACTCAGATGGACTTACCAGGTCATTTTTAATCCCTCTCCCCATATCAGTTTTGTCTTGGTGATCAATCTGTTTTTGTTGCATGTTGATTTGGGTGTTATGTACATTTATATGGTAGAAATGGGTTATGTAATCATTTATGCAGCCATACTTAAAGATGTAACTTTATTTTTGGACATCATTCTCATGACACATGGGAGACATGTACATTGCAAGTAGCAATTTTTGTTTTCAACATTTCAGTCGGCATGGCTCTTGAAATGCCAATCCTTGGTAGCACAAGTATATGTAGATGAGATAGAAGTGGAAGAGGAGGGGATAGCAGAAGCCCTGATGGATGACAACGCCATTGCACAAGTTCCTCGCCCTGGAACTTCCCTCAAGTCTGCTCACCTTGCTGATTCCTCCATGAAGTCAATCAGGTCTATTCTCATTCTATCTTTCTCTAACTCTAGTTTGTTTTGTTGATTATCATATTTTTGTCTTTGGTATATATATCTCTACAGGGTGTCCCAAAAGTCTGGAACCAATAGCAATTCTAAAGTTTTTCTGTTTTTCTTCTATTTTCAGCTAATTGTGAATTCTTTTGGGGAATACTGGAAGCCTGTGTGTACAAAGTGAAAATCAGGGACACAGAACTTCTCAAACAATGTATTCGAAACATTTGTAAGACCATTGACAAGAACCAGGAACTGCTTTGCAGTGTGCAAATGTGATTTAAGTATGGCATTGAGAGGCACGACTGAATGCCCTGGGTTCAGTGGTGCAATGGTACTGTCCCCTGGCTTTCTTTCATCATCTCATGCCGTCCAACTTTTTCTGACTTCAACTCTTCATGTCACACAAAGAAACTGGAAAATATTGTATCCAAACACGTTTTGAGTTAGATGGTGGACATTTTGATCAAATAATGTTAATATATACTGTATTGTGAAACAGAAATTTAAAACTTTTGAATCAGCATTGGTTCCAGACATTTGTCTGTATATTCTGCTGCAGTTTCCTAACTTTGACAACCCCTGTGAACCCACTTTAACTGGGTCTCAATTATAAATGCATTATGTATGAGATATCCATGTGGG